GTTTCCTGAAGGTCCTTCTGTCAAAGTGTGAACGATATAAGACTTACTGCGATACTCAGAGACATTTAATGAACATAAACTATTCCTTAGTGACGATTTTGTTCAGAAAATAATTGCTAACGACTGGGTTAATTAGCCATTAAATGACTCTGAGTACGGCGTTTAAAGATATAAATTAGGTATGAAGTAATAAGATACAATCGTAGTACTAGAAATAGAACGAAAAAATATTTAAAAATCCAAAGAAAAATCCTGACATTTGGTTGGCATCATGAGTTATACTGCATTGTTGAAACAAAATGAAGCCTATACAACAGTACCTATAACCAAATATACAAAAGGTATGTACATACATATTATATGAGAACAAAAATATACAAAATAAATTTCGCAATACATTTTAAAATCCACTTTATTATCAAAGGATATCCCCTTTCCAGTATTTTAATCCAGAATTAATTAAAAGCGAAGCGTACACATTGTAAAACAAACAATGCTGGGATGCGGAGTGAGTCATAATCCTGCAATTGTGAAAATCAATAGCGTCCATCCCCCACGCGATCTGTACTTGCTTGTGTACAAAGCTCTCGGGTTTGAAGTAGCGTCAGACTGTTAAGCAACATTTTTATATATATTTTTTTTTAATTTTATTCGAAATAGTATTTTTTGGTTTTATACGAAGAAAGAGTGTATTTGCTCGTCATTGCGTGTAATAAAACTACTTACTTATAGCAATTCATTTGTAAAATATTGTTTCCTCTTGGCAACACAAAGATGTGATTTATGAAAGTTACAACATAAACATTATAGAACAACATCTTCTTAATAAAATTTTAAGTTAAGTTTTTATCGATTATTTATATTACACAAATAAAAAAGGGAAATTAAAGTAGAAATATTAATATTTATGCATATTTACCTAAGGTAACAAAAAAAAAGTCATCAATCCTCTAACGTTTAGCAAAATTTTCTTTTCTTCCTGATAAAATTGGGATGATGACAGGGCATGAAAATTAAAAAATCTAGTTAGTCCGTAAGTTAGGTAATGAAAAAATATTAGACACGTATTTTTTTTATTTTGTCGTATAATAAAAGATACTTTGATAAAACGAATCAAAGTTTAGGAGTAGGGGCTAAAACGTAATTTCTACGTATAAAATGTACATAGAAGTGATGTCAACGACATTTCAAATCAATATTTTTTTTTTTTTTTTTTATTTACCATTTATTTCAATCAATTACATAGATCATTAATTACACATTACAAACCATAATACAATATAAAAGTCACAATCACAAGTCAGTCATCACTAAAATAATCTCCCAACTCAAAACAATAATTTCACATTAGCCAGTACATGAACCATACAACAGTGGTTCATGTACTGACAGTCAAAACGTTCAGCAAAGGCGCTCAGGATACTATTGCGGCTGCCCCGCACCCTGTTCACTAATGACGTGCACCGCTTGCGCATGATTGTGTTGAAGCAGTCTACCCGTGCGCTGGCAAACATACCCGATGCGCTACAAAAGCGAGGCAGCCCCAAGAGCATCCTGAACGCGTTATTGTATTGAACACGCAGAGCGCTGTACTGTTTCTGCGTATAACTCAACCACAAAGCCCCCGTATAGAAAGACGTACAAAATGCTCTAAACAAGGTTATCTTGACATTCTCCGAACATCTTGCAAATCTACGGGCTATCATATTCGCACGAACAGACAGCGCCCTACGCTCCCGCTCAATATCAGCATCGTCTTCCAGGTCTGAGGTCAGAATATGTCCAAGATATTTAAAAGTATCTACTCTCTTGAGAGGGTGTCCATTTAGAATTGTTTTTGGTATCTGAGCCGGACATCTCTTCTTGGCCCGAAAGACCATGCACTCGCTTTTCTTCGTGTTGTAAACTAAACCATGCTTTTCAGCATACTGCTGACAAATGCCAATCATCCTCGACAACCCGCAAACAGAGGCGCTCAGCAGCACCATATCGTCAGCATAGCTGATATTGTTTATGCACACCCCTCCGACATGACAACCTACATGCGTTCTGCTGAGCTCCTCTATCAGCGCATTCACATACAGGTTAAAGAGCCTCGGAGAGGTCAGTCCTCCCTGCCTAACGCCACACTCCAACCTGTACGGAGCCGAGTACGCCCCCGACCACCGAACAACATTAACTTGGTTGTTGTACCAGTACCGAAAAATCCGAATAATTCCGTCCGGCACTGAAACCTGCTGCATTTTATGCCACAGCAGATCATATGATACCAGATCGAATGCCTTCGATAGATCCAGAAAGCAGGCAAAGACAGGCGTACTTCTATCAGTATAATACTTCACAGTTTGCTTTAGACACAGTATCGCAGCCTCCGTGGACAGACCAGATTTGAAACCAAACTGATTGTCGTGTAAATGGATGAAATTGTCCAGCTGAGTGTCAAGCAAACTGTCAAGCACCTTCGAGATAATAGTAGCCAATGAAACCGGTCTGTAATTATTCTTATCACTAATGTCCCCGGTTTTATATCTCGACGAAAGTAGTCGTTTCTGTAAGAAAAAAAAAATACGAGTCTAATGATTTAAAATAATCTATCAGACGGACATTAAAATAAAAATTAGGCATCTACCCTACTTTACAATGTAGCTAAAAATAACAATTTCACGTAACAACCTATCATGCTCATAGTACATTTCCCCTTCATAATCCCCAGGATACGTATTTCCCAGTTGTCAGCGCGTATCCCGACAAATGTTCCAAACGACGGGTTTATTTTATGTCATGCTCGTTCACTTGATACATTGAATGACGTCATTTCGGCCATATCTTATTAGCCCTAGGAAAAAAGGACGAAAACTAAGTGGTTAGAAAGAAATATCTACTTTATGTCACGGATCAATGACCTATTTTAGGAAAATATTACTTGAAAGCTGATGGTTGAAGATTGGTGTACGTTTATTTTTATGTTAGTGCGATAGAAAATTGCCTGAAGGCAATGAGCTTTGTATCTTTCTGAGTTTTCTATTTTTCTATACACTAGAATCAGAGTTCTGGAATTCTAGTAAGAGCCAATTACAGCTATGACAGAACAGTTTAAACTATCACCGCTGTTTTTAATGTAGTTTAATTCTATAAAATAGTTAAGACGTTTAACTTTCATATTCAACTAACAGAGATTTTAGGAACACCAACTACAAAGATAAGACATTTATTTTAATACAAATAAATATTAATAAAGATAACGCTATTCATTTTACCAACGCAGCGCACCCGCAACTTGGACGTGCCATCCCTTAATTTACTTGCCCTATAAATTAATTAATATCAGCCATATTAATTAATTTATCGAGTTCCTGCGACATTTAATTAAATCTTCCGTACTTTTGCCACGCGCTATAATTTTATAACGATGATATAATGACATTATAGTACGTGTTTGGTGTGGGTACGTAGCTATGTGTTATACGCACATTTATTCTACGTAATTGATGGAGAGCTGATTTCAAATTCCATGTGGTTTAAATCAGCAAATTATTATAATAGATTTAGCATTAAATCATCAAAATGATTGTAGGCCATGTAGAATTGTGATTATTGTAGTTTTATAGAAGAAAATCATCCAATGACTTCTCTCGTCCGGGTGAGGCGATGTTAGACTCTTATTGACTAAAAATCACCCCGTTCTTACTCCTGCACTTCCAACCAGAGCCCCAGCAAACATTCTTACTGACTGAAAACCACCCCGTTCCTACTCCTGCACTTCCAACCAGAACCCTGGCAACCCGGTAAGTCTTCCACGGCTCCGTATCAGCATCAGCCCTATTGGGCTCCATCTGAGGTGGTCTGATGGTGTAGTTACTGAATAATTTAAAATTGCATGCTTTTCTTAAGTAGCCTTATTTTGATTTTGCTAAATACTTTTCCATTATTTCTATTTGAAAAAATAAAAAGAAAACTGCACACACCTGTACAGTATTTCTCGCTTTATAACAACATGGAAAATGTATGGAAAAATATACGTAAACTTAAATAAATGTATATCTAGGATTGCTTTTGATGGAAGTTAGTTGATATAGTTTGAAATAGATAACTTCTAAGGCTTCTGCTTTCATATCGAACTTCAATCTCCAGCTGTGTAATGTAATGGATATCTGGCTAGCTGTCCTAATATCATTATTTCATTTGACATACATAATGATTGATTTATCGAAGAAACGAAATACAGATAATATTAATGCTATGCCTATTTAGTTTTAGTAAATACCTAACATCAGACAGACATTATAAATGGAATTTGTTATTTTGTTGTCACAAACTTTTTTATAGATCAATCGTTCATCATGAAGCAAAAATATGTTATTTATTTAAAAACTCTATTCGTTTGGTCTAAGCAAAGAAGAGTAGTAGGTTTAGTCATAACGTCCATTAAACTAAACATAAATAAGTATAATCTACACCGACATTTAGCCCGAATTTTAAAAGCCCGACATTTTAAAAAATAAATGACATTGCTATTGGTTTTAACAGCACTTTAATACTTTTCTGTTGTATTCAGAAACCTAAAGAAAAATAGGTGTATCAAAATTAATTGAGATTATTTTTCCTATTAATTTCTTTGCCAACACAAAATCCTTACTACAAACTTTCTTAATCCTAAGACCCTAATGGCATCCAAAACAGTGACGAAGGTCCCGTCAAACAAAAGCTGCCAGTGTCTATACTTAAGGAGATAAATGAAACTGTTTTTGCTGACCGTACTGACTTGCACTTTGTAGGCGCGCGGGGGATTCTATTGGCGGGAAAAAATACGAGTCATATTGGAAAATCTGAGAGCTAGGATTTGAAAAAGCTTTGCTTTTACGTGAGCAAATGTTTTGTTTTTGATATCTATTTAATGTGAAAAAAAATATCACTGTAAACTTAAGAGTATTTAACCAAAACAATAACAATTTTGATTGTGTAAATCTATAAAATATGAAGATATAAAAATAATACTTTACCTTGTCTTCCGCTTCTTCCGCCCTGCCCTCGGCTTCCAGGACTCGCTGCTCGAGCTCCGAGAGCTGAAACAAAGAAAAACATCATATTAGATACTCCCCACAGAGAAAAACTCTGCACCGAAACAAGTTCACAAATGTTACCCGTAGCGCCATCTCTCGACAAACGCGCGACAACTCTTCATGAAACAGCGCTGTGCAAACCCCGAACAACTCGCCCGACCCATTGTACGGAACTGTTTCTCATCGTAATACCAGCACCACCCGCTAGATGGCGTAATTGCATAGAAAACTATTTTATTGAACCACGTGGTAGTAGGTTACGAAATATAAGTTCGTATAGCCAGCTATTTATCAGGGAGGCTGTAGAAAAGGTATTATTGTTATGTAAGAGCGAGTATTCGTGCGGTTTCTGAGGCGGGGGGCGGAATCGGCTCGTGAAAGGGTGTGTGTTACTTGCAAAATGTTATAGATGTGATATATGCCCGTAAGACACGAGTTAGATTGTATTTGAAAGGTTTATTTCGGTGTGACGACGGGCAATCCCTTTTATGTGTACTGGGATTTGGATATAAATTTTAGTATCGAATTCCGATAATTATAATCTGGGCTTCGCGTTTTTATGATAGACTATCTTTTTTATCTCTACAACAGTTTTTTTATTATTATTATATTGCGTTATTTTAGGAATATTTAACAGAAAAGTTAGGGCATTTAATAGTCTTGAAGGTCTTTAGAATAATATCTGTGAATCATAATATTTTCACTACTCTAGGTTATTGATTCATTCATAAATAGAAAGAGACCTATAACAATTTCAGTGCGTTCGTTTGCTGGTGTTATTTAATGAAAGTCCAAAGGGACAGGTTTGGGAGGCTCCTAATGCTATAAATACTAATACATTTGATCTATTCAAACATTATTATCATGTATCTACAACATAAACAGTATCATATCTGACTAGAACCCTGACAGGTTAGGCAAGATGGTAAACATAATTCTACATGTTAAAGTTACATATTAACGCAGAATAAATTGGAAACTGGTAAAGTACATACATACAGCCAGTCAGTAAATGTATAATTTAAATCAGCAGTAAATTCATCAGTACTATTATTAATCCAGTAGAATTAAAATGTGTACCTACTGTGCTCCTTAAAAACGTAATACCTACTCAAATTAAGGCTTTGAAATACTTAAAACAAAAGTAAAATTATAGGTCATAAGTAATACTAACTACCTGAAAATTAATGATAAAGCGTCCATGAATAATTTATAAAACAATCAATCATCATCAACAGCCTATAAGTGGCCACTGCTGACCAAAGACCTCTTCTCACACGGAGAAGGTTTAGAGCATTAACCACCACGTGACGCTTGTTCAATGCGGGTTGGCGAATTTAAGCTTATAATTAGAAACTATATGCCCAGATTTCCTCACGATGTTTTCCTGCATCGTTTGCCAGTGGTGTCTAGATACGCTTAGAAAGTAAAAATAACTTGGAAAAATTTACATTGGTACTTTCCGTTGGTAGGTTGGAACTTGCATTCTCATACATGAGAAGCGGGCGTCATAAACTTGGGGCCACCACGAATTTATGTAAAATAAATGGAAGTAAATAATAAAGTCAAAAGTCAAAATCATTTATTTCAATTAGGAAAGGCACTTTTAAACGTCAACAAAAAAAAAGTGAAGCTATTTGCTTATACCAGGGTGTAGATTCCTATGGAGAACAACGAGCAAGAAACTCCATAGGTTACTCTTTTTCTATCAGGATCACAATACAATTCTCTAGTTATGTACATAGTTTTGTGGTTTGAATTGTGCGAGAACAATGTAACACTAAAATCCATTCAAAGAGATCGAAAAAGAAAATAACCTTGAAGACAATAAATAATACAGTCTGGAGTCTTTAATCTTTTGTTTCACTCAATCGAACGTAAGATTAACAAACTAGATAATGTAAACGAACATGACATCTACGGTTTAAGCAGTCCAAAACACCCAATCAAAGCAAAATCTCTTACCTTCTCTCTTCAAATAAACAAAAATTGAGTTGGAAGTAACGAAGGGGTAAATAAAAATGTGTGTGCATCGAGATTGCGAGCACTGCCACTGTCAAAGGCAGAGCCGAGAATATGCAATAAATCAAATTCAGACCGAACTTTTAGCGTTCCAAAGGAATTTCTACGCTACCACATTACTTTGTATTTTGAGAATATTGTCGTCATAACTTTTCTTCTGATATATTAATGTTTGTGTTCTATGTGATGGGTTTCATTCTTTTCTATGTATATCAAGATTAGAGCTTTGCTTTTTGCAAAACAGTGAGAACGTTCTCTTGGTCTATAGTTTTAGTTAATATACTAGTATTTTAAACTGTAGGTACTCGTAACCTACCGCTGTACATTGCTTGTATTGGATTTATGTAGCCATAATTTTATTAATAACTAGCTTTTGCCCGCGACTTTGTCCGCGTAGAATATGAATTTAAGAGTATATTTTTTTACGTCTAGTTTTTCCAAAATAAACGTAGCCTATGTTACTACTTAGTACATCAGCTACTTCCCAATAAAAGTATTGCAAAATCGGTCCAGCTGTTCTAGAGATTAGCCAATATAAACAGACAGACAGATAAAATAAAAAAGAATGTTATTTTCGTATGTATATCGTATGTATAGTCATATGCAAGTAGTAAGAAGCGGTTATTTTAATATTACAAATCGACATTACAATGTTATTTATCTGTATGGACACAGAGCCGGATCTCAACAAAATAAGGCTGCAATAGCTACACAACGCCCGTTTCAGTTTCTTTCAGTAAAACTGTAGTAATGAAGTACCTTATCATCGAAAACTAAATTATTTTCTTACACTTTATAAGACAAGTAAACGAGCTTTATATTCTATTCTCCCTTATTCATAATCCAATCTCTAATTAATGACATAAGACTAAATGTAATTACAATATTTATTATTAAATGGTATTAGCTTAACCGAAGATAATTATCTAATTACGTATTAATTGCTTTCATAGATCAGACGAATGTGAACTCTATGTACTCCTAAAATATGAAAAGACAAGTATCTAATTCGTTGCAGCCTAAGTAAGTGTCTTTAAGGTTCGATTTCCCACATCATTCTTTAATTGGATGCAATCTATAGACCAGACTAAAATGAACTCTATTTGTTCTGAAATTGTGAAAAGGTAAAAATATCTAATTTATCGAAGCCTAACTACATGTTTTTAAGGTTTGGATTCCAACGGTACATTTTGATTTGATGCATCAGTGGTCGCCTTAACATGCCATTTGTTGTCAAAGCTCATAAGTTTCCAGGCAGGATTCCTTTTGAGCGCCTTGAAGCAAGAAATTGCTTGGTATCAAAACCATATTTTGTGAAATATCAAATTGGAGTATGTTTTCTTGTTTGTATTGGAGCTCGTCGCGTTTTGAGATGTTCTTTCTATGGATATTAATGTTCTATGAATTTTTTCCAATCTTATACTTACTATTATATGAAGCGGAAGATTTTGTTTTTTTGTTTGTTTGTTTGAACGCGCTAATCTCCGTAACTACAAGTCTGATTTGAATAATTCTTTTTGTGTTGGATAGCGCATGTATCGAAAATGGCTATAGGCTATAAAACATCACGCTACAACCTATAGGAGTTGAGCAGAACGTGTGTAACCGCACGGAAGTAGCTAGTATTTTATAAAGAATAATTCACTGTTTGTTCGATTGATACACATGGTACACGTTATTACACAGAAGGAGGTTTAAGCCTATTTATATAAAAAAGAGATTAAAAGCAAACGGATTATATGTGTGTCTAATAAAGGCAACGAATATTTGTTGTAGAGTTATAATTTTACAGACGATTTATGAGATTGTGTAGATGAATGGTTGCTAATCTCATATTGAAGTTACTGGTCGATATTACTTCTGCTCTGACTGCTTCATTGGCCGAGTGGTCGCAAATACGAATGCTGGGCAAGGGTTCTCGAGTTCGATTCCCAGGTCGGGCAAAGTATTATTACTGGATTTCCTAAAACAATCTCAGTAGTAGCCCGGAGCCTGGAAATGTATCCGATGTATGGCAATAGGCTCACCCCCTATTACATGGGACCCATAACATAAATAGTGGAAAGTGGGTGTTACATTGTACAGTGGCATTAAGTGCTGTAATGAGCACTTTGCCTAGCTCGTCGGGGATAAAAGGCACGATCTTATGCCATGGTCGATATTAGCCAGATATTAGCCAGATAAAAGAAATCCAGTTCGTCCATTATACAAAAAGCCAATAAAGAACCAAAACTTCAACAAACACATATCAAAAGACAAACAAACAATCGAACATAAATACAAATAAACACAGAAATAATTAACCTTCGTCATTAACAAAATCAATTAGCTGCACCCTCAAGTTATCGAGTCACAAACACATTTCCAAGATGGCAGCTGAGATGACAAGTCAGGACTCATAAACACCCAGTTAACGAGAGATAGGACCATACGTCAATAAAATTGACATTACTCTTGAAGAGGACTTGCACAAGTCTGACCCAAATGTGTCATATTATTGAGCCATAAATACACAATGACCAATTTACCACGACCTCTGAACATCTTTGAAGCCCAATTATAAGATAAGGAAGAAGGAGGTCATGGTGTATGGTTGCATGTAAGCGCGGTAGTACTATTATGTCGATTTAGTGGTGATATGTGACTCGAGGTAGCGTCACGTGTTGTGCCTAGCGTTTGAAGTCATAAAGCTTATAGACATTACATTGATTGATGTAGCATAGTCATTGTGAGAATCAGTGTCTAAGACTTACGCTTTGTTAGCTATGTTAAGAGTTTTATGAAGGGGGCGAGCCTACACGTTTCCAGACTAAGAATTATTATGATTACAAACACTACGTATATTTTTAGACTACCACAGTGTAGTCTACTAAGAGAAAATCTTCCTGGGGGCTTACTCTTGAATCCAATTCCGATCGATCGACATTGGTATAGTAAAATTTCGTACTCTTAAGTTGCATATTAGTGCCCATTGCATCTGT